GTTGAAAACATTGTTTTGGTTCTGGACAATCTTCTTTATTCCAAGTTTCTAGGTTTAAACTGAATACTGCGTCCAGCTTGTCACAGTTTAATAGCTCATCAACTTACTTATTCCATCTTTTAGTTATCTCCTTCTCTTCTTCTAATTGTGTCCGATACTGAACTTAATAAATATTAATTTCATTAAGATATAAAAGTGTTAAATATTTTGCTTGGGCCAGTGGATGGCTATTGATAAAGCGTTTTCATTTGCAAGCGCCAAGTTGTCAATTGTGCAGCCTACGGGACATTTTATTAGGTTTTCATCTGATTGTCTCGCCACATTCACAAATGTCTTTTTTGGTATCCCCATTGCACCATGTTGACTTTTGTTTTAGCTAATCCGGCTCTTATCCTATCTTGGTCCGGCATTTTGTCACTTAACTTCTTGAAGCGCCACACACTTCATCTTGTATTTTTCGTCTTTTCTTACTAAATTTATAGTCGATCCTTCTTTGTACAAGATCCTTACGTTCCAAATACCACACAATAGTTCCAATTTCCAGTTCCCAATCTTTTTTATATTAAATCTAATCCAAGGCATGGTGTTTTAATCCTGAACGTAAGTTTTTTTTTACGCGGGTGGGTCATTAGCCCTGCGCATAACCCTCAACTTGGAGGACCAGACACCTCAATCACTTAAGGTCAGGGTAGGGCTATTGCAGTCCACTTATTAAGTGCACTGAGCGATGGGAGCGCCAATTTTCCCTACGACACTATATATATACTTATATTTACACTGTAATTCTCAGACGGTGTGTCATCAATTAATATGGCACAATAGCAAAAACCATACATAGAAAAATCAATATCAAAGATGATCTTGTGCCATTTACTAAAATAAATCCAGTACCTATTTAATTTAAATACTATTGAACATTTTATTTGTAATTTTTAAAGAAGTAATTGGTATAATAATTTTTTTAAATAAAATAATAACGGTTAAATGTACATACCTTATAAATGTTTTATTTATTTAAAAAAATCCATTAATTGTTTTAAGTATGATGCTATTCTTATGGAGCTATATATTAGTGTGTCATCATGAAAAAAGGTTGAGAATTACGGTATAGTATTATATACATAAGTCGACCTTGATTTCTAAAATTTCTAAAATTTAATTTAAAATATTAATTCAATTCTATTGAAATAAAATTATATTATTGAAAACAATTAAAAAATAATGCTTGAACGATTGTTAAACAAAATTAATAATATGGAAGAAAAAACTAGTAGACTATAAAGCACATTATATATTTGCAGTGCAATGTATTGATGACAACCAAATTATAAAGTTAAATGTAATTTGTTATGTAACTTAATTAAATTTCACTAAACTTTAACTTTTAACTCGTCGTAATATTTGTCAATTATCATATTGTAACAATCATATTATTAGTAATATTAGCATAAGCATAATTATTATAGTCATAGTTTACAATTTTTAATATTGATTATTTGAACTGTAAATAAATTAATTATACATTTAGATATTAGAAAAATAATTGCAATCAGAATATTTTTCTCCGTTGGTTTTTATAAAATGTATTTTTTTACGTTCATTAAATATTTTAACTACAAATTAAAGTATCAAATACAGACTGTTTACGATATAAATAATTTCGTTACTTCGTTTGTTGTATTTCTTTTTCAATAGAAATCATTATTAGCTGAGGTTTAAGATTTGCAAAGTTAAAACAAGATTATTTCAGTTATTACATTTTAAATATCTTGAGAATCTTAACCAACAATTTTTTAACGAACATTTAAAATTGTAACAGTAAACCGATTTTCGCTAGCAATTGGTATTTAAATTTAACGATATATCAAGTTTTGGGATATTCTTTCTAGCAGTTTATCACTCGCAATGTCAGTAGGTACATATATTACCCAAAACCTGTGACCAAATTTATTTTTAATTACGTTTTAAAAGTTTTATAAAACACGATGCAGAAATTCTGATTCATTTTTAAATAATTAATAATGGAGTATAAACAGTTTTGGTCACACTATTCAAAATATCATTTATTTTTATTTGGGAAACAAAAATGGAATAATTTCAAGGTAATATTGATACTGCTTTTAGATATTATTTAATTTAAATTATAATCTGCAGTTTGCAGTTATTAATTGATTATGTTATTATTATTTTAAATGTTTCACATTTTAATTATAATATGGGGTTGCAATGTGTATACATTTCTGAACTAGTTTATTCCACTTTTGTAACAATTAATTGAATATAAGTACATAAAAAATATAATTGAGAATAATATATTGCGTATACCTGTATTTTTAAGGCATTATGTTTATAAAACCATGAATTGATAAAATACTTGATTTTAATATTACATAGAATTAAAATAATAATTACGTAATAATATTATGCATATTAAGTGTACTTTAGATTCAAGAAAGCTTAAAATATCGATTTCATCACATTAACTACATTTTAACGAATATCGTATCATTATAATTATACTTTAATTAATATTTTTCTTATTATAATATTGCTATTCATTTTCTTCGTAGTTAAAAACAGACGAGTCTTTCTAATAAAGACATATTATTTTCCGAGTTGGTATTTAATGAGTTGGGTGAAATGTTTATTAAAAACTAAACTAAATACAGAAATTAAGTTATGTTATAAAACATTTTTGATTTAAGATCAATTTTGTTGTATTTACATTTTAGATACTTCATCATTTTATTGAATCACAACAATATTATATTTAATAGTGTTTATGTTTTAATTTTCAAAGCTTTTTTTCCTTTTTAATATTTTTTTCTCATTAGTTTTGTACTAAAATAGTATTAATATTATGCAAACATTAAAATTAAATAAATAAATGTTTATATAATTATATATTTTGCTATAGATTAAAGGGTATAAACATCGGCCAATTCCGAATTAAGCTTTTTCCGATACCAAATATAGTTTTTATATTCTGCTTTTTTATTTCATCAATAAAATAAATATATATTTTGTACATAATTAATTTCGTTTTTAATACAGTTCGTATGAATAATTTATAGATATTTAATGTATTCATTGATGTAGATTATAACGTGATGAGTTATATATGGAATTCTTTAAAAATAAACAGAAAAAAAGAAAATAATAATGATCCATAAGATATAAATTATAATGATAAAAATCTCCGAGAAGTTATTTCATATATTATTGGTCAAATGTTATATATTGTGTCTTGGCACTAGGTATAAACTTAGTTCTCGGTTCAATACAGTCCCCCGTAGTTTATAAATTGCTGTAAACGCTAAAATTCCAGTACTCAATTTATTTGTTTTAATAATGCTGTTTTGTAGATTGTATAAACATTATTATTTGAAAAAAAAAGCTGTTTCATAAATTTTAAGTTTCATGTAGAATTTGTGTTTTGTTGATGAAGAATAATAATCGATAAAACACGGTTTTTTTTTTGAATTTAAAAGCTCTTAAGCGTACGATTATTTTATGCATTGTGTAGAATATACACAATGTAAATTTTTCATGAACATCAATAGTTATAAATAAATAGTATATATAATAATTTTTTTCAGCGATAACTGTAGGTCTAGAAAATAGAAAATCAATAAATACGTATTTCAAATGAAATGCATGTATCAATTTATGTAACACATAAATTATTTGTGTAATTTAGTAATATTTATATTATAAAACTAGATCATGAGCATAACAATTAAAATAATAATAGGTAAATAATATGAAATTTTGATAACCTTCTTGAAAGTTGTAGGTAAATAAAAAATTATAATTTGCCTTTATTCCATATCGACGAATATCAATTGCTATTACTGATAATTAATGAACAAGGATACGCTTAAAACAATTACAAATAAAGTACTTATTAAAAAATTTCACTATCAATGCTTTTAAATAATTATTATGTAATAAGTTATTTTATTAATATTGAATTTTCTTCCGTTGTTCTAGACTGGGATAATTTTAACAATCGTACGTGTAAAATAATTTAAACACATACCAGGCAGTGTTCAACCTTTTTCGATCCACGATCCACAAATTAATTTATTTCGATGTTCCCCATTCCTATCAAGATTATGTAATTGTATAATGTATACTTACTCAATGTCTACAATAATTTTATTCGTATGAATTATTAAGTCGTTAATTTTAATATTTCTTTCATTTAATTAATCCAAAACGTACAAAAAAAAAATAAAAATAAATAAATAAAAAATACAAAATTAAAGTTTTCTAAAATCTAAAATATAAAGTTATGTAAATCGACGTACATAATATATAACTTTTTCTTTTAGCGTTAAACCGCATCGGCGACCCCCTGATAAAATTTGGCGATCCCTACAGGGATCCCCATGTTGCGCACCACTGCTATAAAGTCACATGCACGCATTGTAGGACGGTGGCTTCAAACATGTAATTGCCACTCACACGATTACTGCTGTGTTACATACTGTACCGTCGTAGGAGACTGGTAACACGTTTATGGGTCGTACTCGTCGGTATACAATCCCGACTGGAGTATAAGGGTAATAACTTATAACGAAGCTTTGGGCACGGACATACGGACGTTAATTGATCAACGATCGGTAAAATAATTACATGATACCATCACGTCGATGCACGGGTTAGCAGTGCCTGGGGATGTTTTCAACGTTTGATTTTATTAGTTCGTATTTTAATTTTCGTATTCTTAATTTTCGGCGTCGGTGGCGGATCAAACATCAAAACACAACATTTACTTAATCGTTCTTATTTTTTCTTTCTCTCGTACCAGATAATACTATCGTAGGGGTCACTCGTCAGTAACGTCGTCGTCACCCATCGTTATAATAATAATAATAATAATAATAATAATAATAATAATAATAATAATAATTATTATTATTATTATTGTAGTCACCGGTCGGAGCGTACCACGTGAGCGCGCTAGTATGGCGACCGGTCGCGAGGAGCGCGAGTTGCCCGTGTCTGCAAACCGCTAGTTTTCTGCTACTCGGTTGAATGGACTAGTAATTTAAATTTTTGCCCGGTCGGGAATGTAATCGTATTACGAACCAGTTGGCCGTTGGCGTTGGTTAGCGTGTAACGTACCGTTCGCGTCGCTCCCGTTTCAGAAAAATATAGTGTTTTACTGAGTTTTCATACCGATTTATTGTTGTTATTGTGCCCGTGCATAACCGTGATCCGCGTCAACAAATCGTCGTATAAACCGTGTAGCGTTCTCGTTAAATTTTTTGATTTTGTACGTCGTCGTCGCGTTAATTTTAATAATTCAGTCGAAGTGAGTTCATTATAATTTATTTTTAGTGGTATGTCATCTTCGTTCTCGTCGCAGACGAATCGTACATTTGGAATACTTAATAATATGTACTCACCGAAAAATGAATGTGACCATTGTAAGTAGATAATTAACAATACCGATTGAAACGAATAAAAACTAACGACTAATTGTGTGAACCGATTTCAATGATTTTTATTGCAATTTTGCCGGTATGGAGCTAGTGGACGTTGACTATAGACAATTATATTGGAAACGATAGTTATGCATGATGTTCAATTGTCTTTACTTAGGGACATATATATATATATATATATATATTACATTAGCCCTCCCTATGCCCTTTGGGTTCGAAATTCAACGCACTTTATATGACGTGATAAATACCCGTAGATTTCGCATTTGGTGTGTGAGATATGCAGTCGCATACCCTGAACGCTAAATTGAAATTTTTTTACAACCAAATTGCATAGATTTCTCATTTTTTTTATTCTTTATAATGATTTAATTATTAATTGTTAAACACGAGTGCATTTTGTTTTTAAACAACTTGATTTGTATTAATTTGGATGTTTTAAAACAATAAATATACAAAGTACAATATCATTGTTCTGTTTTCATGCATTATCGATATTTTTTAATAAAAAATAACCCTTCAACAAGAGATTGATCATTTTAATTTTAATAATTTAATTAATAATTTTGAAAAAAATTATAAGAGCTCAATAAAAATAATATAATATTAAAATTTAAATTATGTTACATTATCTATTTTATGCTTATTTACCAATTAAATCTTTATAAACCATAAGCGTGGTAAGGTGATGACTGACCCAAATAAGTGTTGTAATGTGTTGTATAGTATATAGTATTGTAAATAGTAGTTGATCAAATTAATAAAAATAATAATTTTGGCCAGGTTAGTCTGTAGCCGGGAAACTAGAAAATTTGGTCTCACGCCATCGACACTGATTCCTTAGTTGCTCAAATTAAAACCATAACAAAGTTTAATTATATGTATCAGATCATAAATACTAATAAGCTATACAAACAAAATTAAAATGATCAGAATATAATTCCAAGGAAATTTAAACTGTGATTAATTTTATTTTAATTTGTCAGATAATTAAGCGAATTACTGGATAGACTAAAATAATTAATTATTTTAACCATAGTTTATTGGTATATATATTTTAAAAATAAGTTTTTATATTTGTTTATTTTTGGTTATGACATGTAAAAAAAAAGTAAAACATATTTCCAGACCAGTAACTAAAATGCATTATTGTTATAGTTTGAAAGAACACAGTTATTATTAATAAATATAATTTTTCATACATTATTTTATGGAATTTCAAGTTCATGAACTATTACTGTTAATATTAAAAACATATTTTTAATAATTTACTAATAATAATAAATAACCTTGAATATTATGCGAAATAATTTCAAATTTGCTAAACTATGCAATTAAAATAACCGGATAAAGATATGTATATATTATATGAGTAACGACAACAAATTGCATTTGGTACAATCAAATTATAATTGATTCAGCGGAAATTTAAATTTTTATGTAATTTTTCCGTATTTTTTTCACTAAAAATATATTTAAAATAATTTTACTGTAATATTTCATGTTGAAAAATTATTTTCAGTTGATTTTTGACAGATAGATTTTTTTTTAATTCGATTTAATGCAAACACAAATCATTCTACAGAACAGTTATTCTAGCCAGAATACAAAGAAGCGTTCAAGTTAGTATAAAACTGAACAACTGATTTGTTCTTAAAACTTTTCTTGATATATTTTATTATATATAACCCCCTGTAATTTTCTCAAGCTTATAATTTGGTAAAAAAATAACTGTTGAAATTGAAACATCATATGGAAATCGTTTTTACAATGGTAATGTAGTTTATTAACACGGTAGATAATTCTAATATAATTAAATTGATATAAACAAAAGATAAGTTTTTAGTTCAATGAAAAATACTACATTATTTTTTCATATTCTCCATTACAATAATTACTGACCGATCTATGATATTTAATAATAATTACATAAGTATTCTCATTTTACTTGGAACATTGATTTTAAATCTGATTCAACATCGATTTTTCTCGTTTTATCACGAGCAACTTTTCTTGCGTAATGTTAAAGTTAATATTATATTTTACCAGGAGCTTCCGAAAATAAATACAGTCACGTAACAATTGTATAGTAAAACCATTTTGAAAATAATTTTAACCCAAGCGTGTGTAGGTAAAAGCGATGTGTATAAGGACGGGAGTAGGCGTTTGTGTATTTCTAGAAAAACCTTTGACGATTCCTTTGATAATGTTTCATGGTTTCGTTTTGAGCGATGTAATGTGTAAGAAACGTTTTACTTGGTTTTCGAATTGTCGATAGTATAATATTAAAAGGGTGTCGGATTGGAGAATCACTACCACACACGATTCTTCTTATTGATAATTGCAATGCGAGTGTGTGGAATTACGATTTTTGTTGCAATAGTGAGGTAATTGCATCAATAAAGTACGGATAATATATACACGAAATATATTCGGTATTCTTGGAAAATCAGCAAATTTGAAACAGCTCTCATAGAAATAAAAATATATGTTCATGTACATAATTAATTTATTAGGAGTACAAAGATTAAAAATATTATTACTTCAAAGCAATTAATTAACAATTAATGTTAAGTTTGATGTCGTTTTTAAAAATTTTAATTTTTAAGCACAAATGTATACGATCTTACATTCATTAATTTTAAGATATAATATTTTATCTGTGGACTCTTAACTAAGTATAATGAGGATTGTGCTATCAGGAAAAAAAAATTGTGTAAATCTACATTTTTTTTACTCCTGTGAGATTTATCTAAAATCTTCTCATTTTCCGGTAAACCCTATATTCACATCATGAGCGTATTCGTGCGCGTGTACGCGACAGTAACGTTGCAGTACGTCAGTACGTTGCACCTGTATCAATGCACCTGCAGTACGGGAAATTATGGAAACGCGATACGTTTTGGGCCAGAATATTTGTTTGGTTAATTTCGTGTGTGCCCTCAGTAGTAATTACGGTTTTTGCGGTTATCTTTTAGGGGAAAAGGTACTGGGTTGTTCACTTGTTTGTATGAATAGTGAAAAAAAGTACCTAATGCAAAAAACAATAGATTGTACTGAAAACTTAATAACTCATCATTTCCGGTGTCTTATGTTAATTTGCAAGTCTTGTTATGTGTTGGGAAAACAATAAATAATGTGTTATTTTAATAATGACCTTGATTTTGATGATCAGGAGCTATTTATGTGGAATCGAAGCGTTCACCTCTATATGGTACAATACCCGCACCACCTCATGTAATGGTAATTATGTTTCACCTCTCACTCTTTGTGGGATAAAACTAATTATTTGATTACCTCAAAGCAATATCATGGCTACAATAAAATGTATATATTTGTGGTTATACATAGGTACAGAAATGTATTATTTTATATTTAATATAATCAAATGTAGTTTTTTCTCAATTTTTAGCATGCGCGATAAATAGCTTGTAAAATAATTTTTTCATTTTTAATAATAATAATAATAATAATTAAATTTTAAGCTTTATTATACCTAATACAACATGTCATGTAAAATATCCAATGACTACAAATCGTAATATTTTAGCCTATATAATATTTTATAAGAATATTCATTGACACTTTAATTTTTTATTAAATAAGTGTAAAAATGAGACAACTAACATTTTAGATTAATATTATATTTAAAAACTATGTACAATTTACTTCGATATTATATGGAAATATTTTTTAAAATAAATTAAAAAGTTAAATATTAATTGGATAAGGTGTGTCTATATTACTGACATTGGACAACTTGAGAATCAAACATAAAAAAATTAATTGAGTTCAAGCTCAAAGTTTTTTTTTGAATTATGATTTTGCGTTTAACTTAAGAAAAAAAATATTTTGTTGGTAAAAATAATTTTTCTACGAATAAATATTTATAGTTTTTAACAGATTACGAGGTACTCATATTACAAATTTAAAATACTAACCTATATAATTATATAATATTTTTTAGAATACAAAGGAATTAGTACATTGAATAAATCGATAGGGACATACTATTATATAGTCCACACATAAAATAAAAGTGAAAGTCACTTTTTTCGTGAATATAATTAAGCTAGGTCGGGTTAAGTTAGATTAACTTATATATTCATAACGAAGAGATTAAATTAAAAAAATAAGTTTTTCATGTTTCTTAAACATTGGCATGGATTTTTGTTTTATTACGTGATATTGGTGGTAAAATATTTTCAATCATAGTATTTTGAATCTTGGTTAGAGTGACAAAAATATAACAATATTATATTTTTTAATAATTTATGACAGTTTAATTTTTTGTTGTTTATCCTCAATAATCTCAAAAATTAACGCAATCAAAAAACTTGTTAGAAAAAAAATTATTCATAATATTGTCCGTGCTGTGTTATAATACAATTTTTTTTTGTATTTATTGTCTTGAACAATAACTTTTTAAATAATTTACTAGTTTATGATATGACTTGATTAAACTTGAAATGTTTGATAATAATGTATTTATTATTGGTTAATAATAAACATGCTTCAAATATCTTAAATAAATAAAAAGTTAATGTACAAAAAGAATGAAAATATAATTAATCTAAGATCTACATGTATCTCAAAGCATGTTTAATGATACCCAACTTAGTTTATTGGTATAAATTATATATAATTTATTTTACTTCTAGGTCATACACTGTCAGAAATTAAGCTAAACCAAAGTTAAATATTTAAGTTTTGAAATTAAACCATAAAATATTACATTTTTATATAAAATATGAACATACAAATTACATTTTTTAAGTGTATCTTTAAAGTAGTCAGCAAATATTAATTGATAACTTAATTATATAAAACTTTTAATTAGATAATTATTTATAGCAGTTATATTTTAAACGCAATGACTATTTAGTTATCAATATATTACGTAGAAAATAATATGAATATACATACTAAATAGACAATTCATATTTTAATTGATCATAACATTCTAAAACTACATTATAAAT